CGCCGCAAGTCAGGGTGCGAGCAGGCGGGACAAACCGGCGCAGGCGCCCGGAGCCCCAGCTAGCGCGGGTTTTCTTCATCGGCTTTTGCAGTAGCACCGTGCTTCTGCCTTGCTGGAAAAAGCCAGGAATAAATCGTGTTTCCCTCTGGAGCGGCCGTGCCTCGAGCATTACTCAATAAATACTGACTAGTACTCTAGCGAGCGGCAGAGGAGCGTTTTCACCTGTAGCGGACACGGATGGGTATAAAGGCCACGTCGGCACCGAACACAACTTTGCAAGCGGCTCATCTCAGAGCGAGGACTTGCCGCTGCGCGTGGGCACACCTAATCTGTACTCACAGGGCGGCAATACGTGCAAACGAAACGGAAACCACAGCCGTCACCTTGGCTTTTGCAAAAAAAATAAGTGGGGCACGAGACATGCACCAACCTGCTCGTTCTTAAAAAGGAACGGGTCACGTTGTGCTTCAGGAAGGCTCAACTGCAGGGAGGCAGCAGGAAGGTGCCAGACACCACCCCAACGGCCCCAAACACGTTCCCCAGGGTCCTTCCACGAGGTTGATCCTGTCCTTCACGCTAAACGTGCCCCACGCTCCCCTCCCCGTGGCTCCCTGGCATTAACCACGTCGCAAGGACAACCTCCGTTCCCACCCTCGGGCCACCAGACGCCCACAGAGAGATCCCACCACCAACGTGTACAGGTGGGGGGGTCAATCCGTCCCAGCAGCCACGCTGAGGACCTCACTTGGGGGGCAATCCCCCTCGCCTGGAGGGCCCCGCGTGAATACAGGGGGGCACATCCTGCTGCCGAGCAGCGCCGCTGCCTGCGAGCAACATCTTGCCGGGTCACTTTTGTCCCCGCCGATATTTCCAAAGGTGGGAAAAGAAGCCCATCACACGCCCCCACCACGGCTGCAGATAGAAGCCAGCACAACACCGGGGGGGGAGGAAGGTATGCTAAGGGTGGGAGGGGGGTTAACAACAAGTAAAATTAATTCTGCTTTGGCAAGATGGGAATATCGTTACCGATTTTTTATTTTTTTATTTTTTTTAAAAACACACCAAACTCATTTCTGCCAGCACGCAGAGGGCTGGTGCGGGACGAGGGCTCTTTTCCAGCTCTCTCTCCCGACGCCGGCACGGGAAGCGGGACCTCTCGGCCCAGGGAAGCCCCCCGAGAAACCTCTCGGCTCTCCCCTGCCATCAGCGGCCGAGAAAGAGCCGACTCCCGCAGGGACTCGGGAAGCTCTCACGCTCCAGCGCGGCTGAAACGTGGAAAAATTAATAAGCCCGCTACACGCAGCCAGGGGAGCACACAGTTCAGCGCAGGGGGAAACACAGGCGTGCGTGTCGAATGTGTATTTTTCCTACGCAACTCGCACTTAATTTGGACAAAACGTCCCAGAAAGCGGGGCCGCGCGACAGAGGTGCCGTCGCTAACCGCCCCGACGGGCTGCCCCGGGCCGAGTTAACGCCTGCACCCCTCTATTTTCCCGCCGGAAA